TGATATGCGCTTGCGACTTTTTTCTTGTTGAACAAATGTCGATAAGTCAAGGACACAGTCAATGGAGGAGCGGCCCCGACGAAAGCCTGCCATGCAAGGAGGGTATTTGGTGTATCGTTCCAAGTACCACTCGAGACGAAATAGAACCATTCTTTCCATCACTTTTCCGAGGCAGCTTGCGAGGGCAATAGGGCGATACGCTGTCAAGTCCAATGGTGATTTTCCCGATTTCAAAAGTGGTATTAATCGACTTATTTTCCATTCTCGGGGAACACTGCCGCTGAGCCAGGAGTTATTGAAGCATGTTAAAAGTTCTTTTCTGGCTTTTTGTCCAAGGTGTCCCAACGCACTATAAGTAATACCATCAGGACCTGGCGATGACATGCGCTTAGAAGCGACTACGCACCTTCCAGTTCTTCCATGGTGAACGGAACGTCCATTTCTGGTAATCGCGTCTCAGGAACGATCACGGCGTCGATGCTCTCGTTCATAATATTCCCGGCAACTCTCATGCAAATTCTTCAGCCACCTCAAGTTCTGTTTTTTCCATGATGGAGTGCCAAAGCTTTAAAGGGGTGCCGTTGTTGTGGAGAGAAGCGAAGACCACGAACTGTTCTCCAGATATATGACAGCGGTTTATGAGGGTCTAGAGATTCGCAGAATGCTTTTTAGCGTTCGCTCTCCAGTTTGTGAATGCGTCGTTGAATCTTTTTCTGGAGCCGCCTTGCTTCCCTCAGATCGTAAATTGATCTGGTGCGTCTGTATCGTCGTTCAGCACGCCTTCGTATAGCTCGTAATTTTTCCAGTTCGATGTCAAACTGTGTTACTTTAGACGAAAATGGTAATTTACATTTGGACGCTTGCATAGCTTCCGCTATGGTATTTTCCAGGCTGCAGGCGAGGCCTTTTTGGCAAGCGTTCTCAACACGCGATGCAAACATCGACCAGTCAGTGCCGATTGCAACACCGGAAAAGAAATTTTTTTATGATACCATCGATCGTCACGTAGGTGGGTATGTGATCACTCCCATGAGTCTCAATATCGCAAAACCACTTAACTTTGTGAGAGAAGCACCGTGACACCAATGTCAGGTCAAGGCAACTGCCATACGTGAGACCCCGCAGATATGTGGGGGTACCATCGTTCATGATGGAAAGGTCGTAATCGGAAGTGAATGTAACAATGTTCCGGCCCCTGGCATTCATCCTAGTGCTCCCCCAAAGCAAGTGATGGGCGTTGAAGTCACTGGTAATGATCCAAGGCCCATCGGTTCTCATTAGGATGTCTTTTAATCTGTCGCAGTCTAATCGCGATGACGGAGATATATATCCACCAATAAGCGTGAACGAAACTGCATTCTTCTTCACACGAAGACACACGTACTGATTGTCGTCATTTGAACTTATTGGGTGCGAAAGATAAGTCAAGTCTGTGCGAATGTAAACAATTACTTTGCTTCATTCTTCGCAAGCGGCTGAACAAAAAGCTTCATAACCGGACAATCTATAAGGCGTTGATACGTTTGGTTCACATATGACAAGTATAGGGAATTGATTGGCCCGAACAAATTGGCGAAAGTCCGAGATACGGGACTTCATGCCTCTGGCATTCCACTGAAAAATCTACGCACTTTTAACTTCAGTGCGGAAGATGAGATTTTGTTGAGCCATTGTGCTTATAGGAAGTTAGCATGAACTGGATTCAGTGCATCCAGTATTTGCAGTGCACTCTTAGCAGACGGAGATTGCATGCTGCTCAGTAGCGTGCGAATTGTGGCAATTAATGATTGCACGATTGCAGCCACTTGCCTGTCTTGGTTGGAAATATCTCGAACCGGGACGATTGCAGTCACTTGCCTGTCTTGGTTGGAAAGATCTCGAACCGGGAGCGCGGACTGGCCGTCATGAAGCTCCTTCGGTTCGCTTGACGCTGCTTCCCTTTAAAGTGCAGGCCACTCTGTCGCTGTTAGGGTATGCTCACTGGCTTTGTCCTTTACAGCCTTTCCCACGGCATGTGGTCTGGGAGGCAAAGGAGGTGGTACTGATGAGGGATCACGCAAACGTGTCGAGGAGGTAGCGGGCGTCCTCGAAGACCGACGTCGACGTGAACGACGTCTTCTGACTTTGGCTGCGGCTTCTCGATGAGATGAGTGATCGCGCACCATCTCCTTCAAGATGGCAATTTCCTTCTGAATCCGCGGGCAGTCCTTCGATGTGGCTTCATGGGATTCATTGCAATTAGAGCATTTCTTGACAGTTGCGACGCACTTATCCGCTTCATGGTGCTCGGCGCAGCGGTGGCATACCACCGAATTCTCGCAGACGCTGCTCACATGTCCAAGTTTCATGCATTTACGGCACTGGAGAGGCTTTGGAATGAAAGGCCGCACAGCATGTCTGAAGTACCCCACCTTCACATGAGAGGGGAGTGATGTGCTCTTAAACGCAATCTTCACACAGCGAGACTTGCCTAGCCGGGTGACATCAACACTTGGAGTATCAGTTGTTGACTTGACAAGAAGTTGTAAGTCCTTATTGGAAATAGCGACATCAATGTCGTAGATCACGCCGGTTACTACATCACATCCCAAGGGAACATGAGAGCGCACCTGGTTGCCATCCAAGTCAGTTACACTGCGCAGAACGCCCAACGCACTTGCGTGCAAAACGTCCACAGCCAGTATATTCTTTCTGGCGTTCACTCTTATGTCCGTGATCTCATTTGGCACGAGCGTTTCCAGAGACCTCGACACAGACTGTCTGTTAAGGCGTTTCATGCTGACGGTAGGAAGTGCAGGCAGAAACAGAATGGTATAAGTGTTCAATTTTGGCGCTTCACTTACAGTTTGAATAGTTGAGGATGAGGATGTCCTCATGTTCCTTCTCTTCGCCTTGCGGCTCAGCACAGGTTGGAAACCGTCATCTGAGAAGTCATCACTGCTGAGATAGTAAGCATGAGTATCTTCACTGTCGCTGTCGCTCGCTTGTCCCATCCGCTTCCTGGAGGCGGCCGCCGCTGACGCCGCTGGTGCCGGCAGGCGCCCGGGGTGGTCAACATCCATCCCCTCCAAGGGAGCAGCGCAAACTGATCAACAGACTTAAATTACAACTGAAATACGCCGGAGTTAGCAGAAGTAGCTCCTATTCAAAACACACTTCTTCGTCTTCCATTCTCGATGGCATAAACTGCTGCAAACATTAAGCGGATGTAGGTCCAATATCAAAACAGGGATATGACGTAACCATGCATACATACGCGCTGCGCGTGTCGCACGATTCGTGGGAAACTGATTATTTTTATGACAATGTTCTCAAACATTTTCCAACATTTTTTTTACTAAAACGTCACCTTTTTACATATATGCAAACCATGCATGAAACACATACGAAGTGATACGTACAATGCCGACTCAAAGTAGGGTATCCACAAGGGGTCACAATATGCCGTCAGCAAACAGGTGCGCTGACGAACATGCAATGCCGATAGAGGAGTGATTAAAATTGCGTATGCCGGAATACTATGGGTACTTTCAGTACGATTCACACCTGTGAGGCAAAAATACTTGGATAAAGCGAAAACAATCCGACCAGAGGGCTGACTGAAGCCGACTTTATCGAGCAATGAGAAAAGATATGCAACACTAAAACCTGTGAACTCTGGCATGAGGAGAAAACATTCAAGCAGGTTGTAGAGGAAGAAAAAGTTCGTAGGCGTTTTTTTTCTATCTGTCATGTTACGTTTGCGTGAGTACATACATAGCTGCTGACCAAGCAGAAATGAAAATCACTTTGTAACCGATGCTAAGCTGCGTTCATCTTACATTACAAGTATTTGGTGTAACTCGCGGTATTCCCTTTTATTAAAACATTTTTAGATAGTTCTTTTAATTAAAGTAAACGTGTCACAAGCTCGAAGAAGAAAAGAAGGGATGGCGCGTGGCTGGATATCTTTGCTTCTCTGTCTGGAAAATAAACAGCCGCGTTGCGGCGTGTTGGTCTCTCTCTTCAAGCGTCCATGGTTCGCCATAGAACGATTTTACAAGTTCTGCGTAGTTCGCGTAGAAAGGGTGGTGGTGGTAGTGGTTAGAAGATGAGAAAAGGCACCTAATTTCTGCAACCCGGTCGGGAGCACGGCGCAGTGCCTAGAAAGGAAGCAAGTTGCCTTCAACTGTATATTTTAGAAAAAAAATGCGCGTTTCTCTCTCTCTCTCACTTGAAAAAAAAAGAATAACTACGCTCTCAATTGAAAAAACACATGAGTAATCCTAAGAGGCCACGTTGTTTACTTTGCCATATCGTTTACCGTTAGATGTGCTCATTAAAAAACATATTATTGCACCAGGTAGTACACGCTACTGAAACACCCGAAAACCGGGAAGAAATGCTTTGCCTCTTAACGACCGCTGTTCCGTCCCTGCTTTTCGATTTCGATACTATTAGGTACTTGGCTGCTAACCCGCAGGTCACGGGTTCAAATCCTGGCTGCGGCTGCTGCATTTCCGATGGAGGCGGAAATGTTGTAGGCCCGTGTACTCAGATTTGGGTGCACGTTAAAGAACCCCAGGTGGTCAAAATTTCCGGAGCCCTCCACTACGGCGTCTCTCATAATCAAATGGTGGTTTTGGGACGTTAAACCCCACAAATGTATGTATGTATGTATGTATGTATGTAATTTCGATACTTTGCGTTCCTCATTTAGAGGGCATCACGAATGATAATGACCAGCTGTAACATCCGTAGTGTGTTTATCTATCCGCCTATTGCAACCACGATAGTGCGAACATAAAAAAAAATATTTTTTGTAATGTCATGCCAAGCGTGCCAAGCACGGGTGGGGGAATCTAATCACTCACTGTACATTTGCCAAGACCCGTCCTTTTCAACGATTGAAGGTTCCCATTGATTTTCGTTCCATCGCGTGAATGCTTTGACGTAAATATTACACCGAATGTGCGGCTCTTTATAACTGCCAGTTGCGAAATGCGAGGCAACCACTCGCACGGAACTTGAGAGAACAAGACGAGTTCTGTGCACAATTTTTCAGCGGCCCCTTTAATCGCTGGTTACAATGACGTTGTTCCAGTTCCTGGAAGGATTTCTTATTACATTCGTTGTTTTCTCGGCGTGTAAAGGCGACACTTACGAGCAAAATTATGAAAGCCTCTTTGCAGATTCCGAGAGTACGAGTTCACCCTGTGCATATCTCGACCGGGCGTAAGTAAGCTCTCTGAATATTGGAAAATAATTGGTGGCATAGCGTCGTTGGGGCCAATGTCAACAGTTTAGCTAATTACATAAGTGTGTGCGGCCGAACGTAGGGCGTACAATTATGATGAGCGGGCCAAAATATTCAGCAAGTCTAAACAGAAACAGTTTTCCGGGCATAGAAGGCTCGCAAGCCAACCTTTTTTCGACGTTTCCGGTAGCCGTTACGAAGGCTTATACACTCCATTTAAAGTAGATTCGCAGGGCGCTTTCACCATTCGAAGAAATAGAGGTGATCATGTGTGCGCACACCTTGCAGAGTGGTTTGCAACCACTTATGGCAACCTGAATAGACGAGAGGGATAAATACAGATGAAGTCAGCGCAATGTGCAAGAGTCTCGACCGACGATACACCACACGTGGCGACTTAGGACGGTCGCTCTGCATGAGAATGTTGTGGGCTTAGCATGTGGTTAACATTTGGTGCTGCTGCAGAATTCGTTAATATCAGGTTTGTAGATGGTCGCTGAGAAGCCGACTTGTTGGAGTGAAGGTCTCACACCTGTCCATTGCACTGGCACGTTTAATGGCATCGTCAATTATGCGAGGCGGGTACTTTTGTCTTATTAGCGCATCACTGAGTTTATCCGCCTACTCGGCATCAAAGATAAACTTTCTGGGCGTCACGGTATACATATCAGGTGATAAACTGACCACAAAGCTGTAGAGAAAACCGACTGACAGACATTTGAAAGTATATAGTCACGTAAGGCACAATAAGACATACATACCGTACAGTCAGGCACTCCGATTTAAAAGGTTGTGCTCCGCATAATATGACTTCAGACATAATTGTGAGAAACTCTGTGATGTTCTAATAAAACAAAAGTACCCACCTCAGATAACTGACGATGCGATTAAACGTGCTAGTGCAATGCACAGGAATGAGCTGCTTCACTGCAACGAGCGTGCTGCCCAGCGACCATCTACAAACCTAATATTGAGTCATTCGGCATCAACACCAAATGTTAATGATATGCCAAGAAAGCACCACAGCCTTCTCATATATAGCGACCGTCTCATAGCATAATTTCGGAATCATTCCATGCAGTGTATTGTCGGCCGAGAATATTGCGCAGTATGCTGACTTCATGTGTATTAACCCCTCTTGTCTATTTCAGAATTAAAGTAACAGTGAATATGATTGGTATACAAGTAACTGTGCGTGCATATACTTGAGTACTCAGCCTCTAAGCTTCAGTACCTGGGCCAGAAAGCGGCATCATTAAGACTGCGGTTCGATAATCACAAGACTCATGTCACAACTTTTCCTGGCTTGCCCTTATCTAATCACTTGAGTGCGACAGGGCACTCACTCGAGGACCTATCAGCAAGCATATTAGAATCTGCTCTTCAATCTCACCACGAATGGAAAGCGCGCCAATCAATAATCATCTAGAAATTTAAGACATTAACATCCAGCATTAACGCAACCTCAGGAAAGTCTACGTTCCTTGGCACAAGTTAAGCAACGAGATCACTATGTCACGGACAAGGCTGAATTCCGTATCACACGTCTGCCACTTTCATCAGTTCTCAGCCTGTTACCAACGTTTCTTTTTTTTATTCATTTCTCACGAGTGCCATGTAGTACAGTTTTACTGAGGTATTAGCTTCGATTCTATGTTTCATTATCACTATTGCCAAATGATTTGCTTATGCTTTCTTTATACTGCTGTTCTAGTTTCTTTACTTGCTTTACACCTGTTTCTAGTTAGTTCTTTTAGTGCATTGTTTCTGCTTGTTTACTTACGTTTATTGTTAGTTGATCGTTTCGTTTTAACGCACTGTTGCTGAGTGTCTTCGCTGTATAATAATCAGCCATGTTATCACGTCGTACCTTACTGCGACTGCGAAAAAATGCCCTTCGTTGCTGCGCAGACTTCGCTGTACGTTATCATTTTGTGATATAGTCCTGCGGATATCACATCACGCTGTTGCAGCTGTGGATTTGTGTGCCATGGTAATATATGTGCAATATTAGGTACTAAATAGACACTTGTTGGGGGCTCCCAATGTATATAAGCAAGCAGTACATTCACGTTTGCAATGTAATACCTGACGAAGGCAGGACCCCGGCTGAAACGTAGGCACTAATAAAAAATTCTCGTTCGCTCGTCCGCTCAAGCCAAATTTATTTATGACTAAATTCACGGAAGACACTCGCCTAATATATATATATATTTATATATATATATATATATTAGGCGAGGTTATTCTGACGAAGGCTGGTCCCACGGCCGAAACGTAAAGAAACCTTTCCGTTTTTCGACGTGTGTCTTCTTTTATTCATATATATATATATTGTAGCGAAGCCTCCGAACTATGAAATGGGTCGAACTCTTGAGTACCTTCTAGTGGGGCTACCCAACAAGGACGCCGCTCGCGCTGAGAGCCCGTGCTTGGCCGTTACTCTCGCCATTGTGCTTGCTCGCTGTGGGCCGGCTAATAAACGCCTTAACATTTTGGTGGAGAGTGCTGTGCCCTTCAAACATCTTCGATTCACATTCGATGCCCTTGGAGCTTAGATCCCGTACCGTGCCTTCAACCATGCAACAAGACGCCGCTCAGCAAACGCTTCCTCCTGCGCCGACGCCATGTTCCGGTGTCCCCCGCATCCGCGACCCACCTGTCTTCACCGGCGCGGATGGCACCGACGTCGAGGACTGGCTCGCCATGTACGAACGCGTCAGCATCCCCAATCATTGGGACGAGGCAGGTAAACTCGGCAACCTGGTTTTCTACCTCGCGGGTGTGGCCGGCATGTGGTATAACAACCACGCGTCTGATTTCGCAACCTGGTCCGATTTTAAGACCGCTATCACCAACGTTTTTGGCCGCCCTGCCGTTCGTAAGCTGCAAGCCGAGCAGCGCTTACGCGAACGCGCTCAGCAGGCCGGTGAATCATTCACCAGTTACATTGAAGACGTCCTGGACCTATGCAAGAAATCCAACGACAGCATGTCTGAATCAGACAAGATCCGGAACGTCATGAAGGGCATTGCCGATGATGCCTTCACGATGCTGCTTGCCAAAAACCCAGGCACAGTAGCTGAGGTCATCACGCTGTGCCAAAGCTACGAGGAGCTCCGCCGGCAGCGTTCGATGACCCGTCGCTCCACACCACGAGATGCAGGGCTTGCAGACTTGGAGGTGAGCTGTGACCAGGTGGCACTGCTGGCAGACCTCAAGTCCTTCATACGTGAGGAAATCGCACGGCAGTTCTCTCTCCTGCCCTTTGCCCACCCACCGGCTGCTCAACAATCGGCCACTACCATTTCCCCCCCCCCCCATCCGCCGAGCGATTGAGCAGGAAATAGCGGAGGTCATGCCTGCGTACCACCCACAACAGCTTCCGGCTCCTGTACCCCCAAGTTACGCCCAAGTGGTCGCCAGGCCGCCTCCAGTCGTTCAAGCGCCCGCCCCACTGACTTACGCCGAAGCTGCCGCACGACCTCCACCCTTTGCAGCGGGTATGCCGGCTACGTATGTTGACGTGACGTCTCAGACTCAGCTCCAGCACCCCCTGCAGCCTTTCAAGCCACCGTTCCATCCATCGGCTCTTGCGTCATGGACAAGACCCACCCCGGCGAACCGATGGCGCACATCCGACAACCGGCCCATTTGCTTTGCCTGCGGTTACGCCGGCCACGTAGCACGTTATTGCACTCGCGTACAGACGCCCCATATCTCGTCGCCTGTTGCTGGCCAGATCAGGCGTACCTATCACGAGGAAACGCCGTCTATGCCACCGTCAACTCGCCTAGCTTCATCTTCTCGTAGGTCACCGTCTCCACGACGTCGTTCCCCGTCCCCGATGCGGCCAAGTTCAGCTGCTCACGAGCGGGAAAACTAGTCGTCGCAGTCCCCGAGGCAAGGACTGCAATGCTATCGCATTGTGAAAGCCCCCAGAGCCGCCCATCTAATGTCATTGACGTGCTTGTGGACGGTGTTCACGCATCTGCTCTCATTGACACAGGAGCTGCAGCACCCGTTATGGACGAAAAATTTTGCCGCTTGCTTCGTAAAGTGACGACGCCAATTTCTGGATTGTCCCTTCGTACCGCCGGTTTGCATCGTATCTATCCTACAGCAGGGTGCACAGCTCGCGTTGTCGTTCAGGACATTCTGTATGTCGCCCAATTCATCATCATTCCCGCATGCTCTCATGACGTCATCCTGGGGTGGGATTTTCTCTCCCGCAACGACGCCGTCATCCATTGTGCTGCCGCCGAAATTGAACTCTCCCCCTTCTCGCATTTGACGCCGGAAGACAGTTCTTCGAAAGTGAGCAAGATTCTCGTGAAAGACGATACCATAGTGCCTCCAAGCTCCACGATGGGTGTATCTGTCTACTGCGCTGGACTCTCCGACACAATTGCACTCGTTTCGCCATCCAACCGTGCTTGCCGAAGGAAAGGGTTGCTAGTACCTTTCGCGACCGTGCAAATCACCCAGGGCAACGCCTCTATTTTCGTGACCAACCCATCCCCGTACACTGTTACCTTGGTTCGAGGGGAATGTCTCGGCAGAGTGGAACCAGTGGATAACGCACAAGTCCTGGACGTACCTGATGACTTGCGTTGTCCCAATTTGCGTACCATCAGTGCTGTTTCCACTTCTGATTCATCATCTCCTGATGTATTTGGCCCTTACATTGATGACAACCTCACGTCGGTACAGCGTTCCCAGCTTCTGAACCTGTTGCGAGAATATCGTTCTTCTTTCGATGTCGGGCGAAGTTCTCTCGGTCGTGCGTCCGCTGTTACGCATCGTATCGACACTGGTGCCCATCCACCATTACGGCAACGTCCCTACCGCGTGTCGCCTGCTGAACGTCGGGAAATTAACGAGCAGGTTCATGATATGCTCAGACGCGACGTTATTCGGCCCTCGGACAGTCCATGGGCGTCTCCTGTTGTTCTTGTTGCGAAGAAAGATGGTTCTG